CCCCCCGCGCCTGCCCCACGGGAGCCTCCTTGCAGGTGAAGTGCTACGGCTGGGGCAGGGGCACCATCTACGACTACGGGGCCCTCACCATCGACGGCGAGGAGTACGTGCCCTTCAGGAAGTACGCGGGCAAGATGGTGCTCTTCGTCAACGTGGCCACCTACTGAGGGCTCACGCTGCAGTACCTGGGTGAGGCGGCGCGGGATGGGGGGCAGGGCCGGGGTGGCCCCCTTGGCCACCGCGGTGGCATCGTGGCCTGGCTGACGGGCCGCGCTCGCCCGCAGAACTGAATGCACTACAGAATGAACTGGGGCCGTACGGGCTCGTCATCCTGGGCTTCCCCTCCAATCAATTCGGAAAGCAAGAGCCTGGCCAGAACTCGGAGATCCTCCCGGCGCTGAAGTGAGTACTGAGGGGGCGGCTGCTCCCCGAGGAGAGGCCAGTGCCCTCGTCCCAGCCGGCCAAGGCCACCAGGAGCGGCCCCTTGGTGGCAGGGCCAGAGCCTGCTGACACAGTCACCTGCAGCTCACCAGGGCCTCTCTCCTTGCAGATACGTCCGGCCTGGTGGAGGCTTTGTCCCAAATTTCCAGCTCTTCCAGAAAGGGGATGTAAACGGTGCCAAGGAGCAGAAGGTCTACACGTACCTGAAGGTTCGTGCCCATGGCTGTGCAGTGCGGGGGGTGCAAGGGCTGATTTCAGAGCGTGGGAGGGCGCTGACACTGGTGCTCGTTGCAGAACGCCTGTCCCCCGGTCGCGGAGGAGTTTGGGAACCCTAAGAACCTCTTCTGGGAGCCCCTGAGGAACCACGACATCAAGTGGAACTTCGAGAAGTTCCTGGTGGGCCCCGACGGGGTGCCCGTGATGCGCTGGTACCACCGGGCCAACATCGCCGTCGTGAAGAACGACATCATCGAGTACATGAGGCAGCAGCGGCAGCAGCGGCAGCAGGCCCAGTAGAGGAGGCGGCCGCCGGCGCCGGGTAGGGGGGAGGCTGCTCCCCACACCTGCACCCACCATCAGCTCCCCCTTGCTCGCTGCGAGGGCTGCTCCCCACATCCAGCGCAGTGACAACCACCGCCTGGCTCTGTTTCAGACCACACATG